TTAAGGAATTGCTACTTCCTAAAGAAAGTCGATTGAAAAATTAGTACTTTTATATATCTCAAATCAACTAATCCTTACTCATTCGATTTTGATATACCTTTACGATAAAATATTCTTGCGATATTGCTCATTTGACTTTCAGTTTCTCAAATCAATCTAAATTCTGATTCATTCAACTTAAAATTAGTTTTTTTTGACAAAAATATCCTTACGATATTATTTATACAACTAGTCTTACTCATTATACCTTGTCGGCAAAATATTCTTGCGATATTACTTATTCAACTTCCAGTTTCTCAAATCAACCTAAATTCTAACTCATTCGACTTAAAATTAGTTTTTTTGACAAAAATATTCTTGCAATATTATTCGTTCAACTTTCTGATTCTAAATTCTACCTGAAAATTAGTTTTTTTTGATAAAATATCCTTTTGATATTATTCATATAAGATAAAATTCAGTTTTTAGTTGAAATTTTAGCTAGTTGTAGTTGAATTTAATAATATTTCTTTTATTTCTTTATTTTATTTTTTTTACCAAAAAAAAACATTTTTAAGCAAAATTTTTATCTAACATAATAAAATTTTAATTTCTTACCTGAATTTGTAATTTGTTTAAAAATCAGAAATAATTAAGCTTAAATAAACTTTTAATATAATTGAATCAGAAACTTTAAATAAAGTATTATTTGATATATAATACATGCAACAAATAATACATAATTTTCCTTATACTGTAAAATAATATTAAGAATATAAACAATACAAATATGAAGATTATTCTTATAAATTGCTCTATTTTGAACTTTTTTTTCTTTTTTTTTCTCTTTCAAATATATTATCAATATGAGTAGAAAAAGGTCAATCCCTAGCATACTTGATGATGAAGAAAATGACTCAAGTCAATCTTCTACTGCAGCTTCTTATAAAAGAAACAGATCAATTACTAGTTTAATTAATGAGAAATATCTTCTACTTCTAGAACATCATCATCGTGTAATGTAATAACAAGATATCGATATTGCATTTCATCAATTCGAAATTCAGGAAGAAACGGAAGAGTCTTCAATGATATCAGCTTCAGCTAGACAAATTATTGAACATAAATTAGAAGATGATGAATATCACGAGAATTCTAATTCTACATTTATATCTCAAAAACGTATAAATAGGTACAAAAATCGATCAAAACCCAACATAAATCCTCCTGAAGACAATTCCAAACAAAGTGTTGATGAGCCTTCTGAATCTTCTGAATATACTACTGAAGAAAACAATATTTTAGGTATTAGTAATAATAGAAATGAATCAGATGATTGAAAATTAGGTGATGATGAAGACTATGAAACATTTGAGAATTATGCATCACATAATTATGAGCTGTTTCAGAACCCACCAGATTTAGGATCAATAACTGATAACCTAATTTTATGGATTTTACTCTGGATTATGACATTTCGGACAAGATTCAATATAATGGAAACAGCAACTGAGGCTTTGATAAAATTTATGAAATTAGTCTTGATAGAAATCAGTGAAAATGATTTTAGAGACTTTTCAGATTTGATATACTTAACAAAGAAAGAACTTGGATTAAAAGATCATTTTTATAGCTTTGTTCCTTGTCTGAAATATCATAAGCTGTATAAAAAACAGGAAGTAATAAATTTTAGACAAGAAGATTCACTTGCTATAATGAAGTGCCAACATATTGAATTTCCTAATTCGTCATTCCGTAAATCATAACTTTGCAATACAACTATATCTCAAACCATCTGTATGTTAGCAAATCGAGTAGTAATTTGAGCTAATTTAATATTTTCATTTTCTGAAATCAGATAACAACTCGCTTTCATGTATTATCAGCCTTATTTTAAAAGTTATTTGAGACAATGGGAAAATTGTCGGCATTATGATGATGGTCAAGTATGGCAGACATTGAAAGAATCTTCTGAAGAAAATTCGCAAAATTTTTTAGAAATGAAGTGGCTGATTCTCACCTTGGATTAATGTTGAACTTGGATTAGTTCCAGCTTTATGAAGGCATTGTATATAGTATTGGTGTTATTTATGCTGCTATATGCAATTTGCTGCGTGATATCTGATTCAAATGTGAAAACTTACTGACTCCTGGCCTCTTACCTGGGCAAAGTGAAGTAAGTTTGCACAAAATAAATCATCATATAATACCGATCGTTAATGAATTGAAATCTCTTTGGAATGGAATAACTATAGATAAAACATACAAATTTCAAGAAGGAAGGATCATTTGTGCAACTCTAATTCTTTCATGTGATATACCAGCTTCTAGAAAAATATGTGATCATGTTTTAGCCTTAATATCATATCATAAGTGTGAGAAGAAAGCAAATTATGAAAATCAGCAGCATAATTTTGCCAGTAAGGATGATTTTGATGATTCGTTCTTCATGCGAGATCCAACTAAACATTATCAGAATGCTTTAGAATGGAGATATTGCAATTCTAATGCTTCACAAAAGCGATTGTAAAACAAACTGGTGAAAGATGGTCTGAATTATTACGATTACCATATTTTGACCCTATTAGATTTATCACAATCAACCCAAAGTATTGCTTATTTTTAGGAATTGCACGATGGATAGTAAAAAGAATTTGGATTGATGGGGAAATTTTAACATCAAATGCCCTGAAAAAAATTCAGAGAAAAATGAATGAGTTTCAGATTCCATCTAATTTGGGTTGAATTCCGGGTAAAATTCATGAAGGAGAAGGATTTCTAATTTCACAGCCAATCATTGGCAAATATTTTTTACTGTTTATACCACTGTATCGCTTTAGGAATATTTTCCGATTGTAAATAAAAAGATTCTTATACATTTTGTGAGAATTTGCTTAATTTTAGTTAGCCGAATTATAGAATCAGATCTTTTTTTAGAAGCTCATCGAAGATTAGTTGAAATAGCAAAGCTGATAGAAGTTAATTATAGTCATAATAAAATTATGTTAAAAATTCATTTATCTCTTCATTTATATAATTGCTCATTTGATTATAGGCCATTGTATGCATTCTGGTGTTTTACTTTCGAACGCATGAATGGAATATTAGGTAATTCTTTATTATGAAAATTTTCTGATTGAATATATTTATTAATTTTTAAATTTATAATTCTTAGGCTCTTTACCGAATAGCAATAGAAAAATCGAATCTGAACTTATGTGTTAATTGATGTTTGATGGTCAAATTGATAATATTATAAATTCCGGTATTGAGATGAAAGAGCTTGAATTTTTGGACGATCGGCCTTCTATTGGCTCTTTTTCAATTACTGACCAATTTTATTAGATGAAATATATCAATTTTGGATGAATTCCCAAAATATTAAAAAATTGTGTATTTTTGGTAGTGAAAATTTTTCAGGAAAATTTCTTAAACCATCATTTGATATTATAATCATTTCAAATGAAATGCTGTATTTAATTATTAAATACTATTTAGCAACTTATGAAAATCTCGAATTTCGGAAACCATTCAGCGATGATTCAGAAAATGCTATAATAATTCAATTCAAAATGAATCAGTTTGGAAGATATCGAATCAGTTCTGAAATCTTCAGTTCAACAATATCCTTATGACATGAGAAAAGTTCATACATTTTGGCCAAATTTATTATGAATGATGATATTATTGATTGTTATCCAGGTCAAGTTCAATATTATTTTACTCGTACAGTCGATTTACCATATGGATTGACTGAACATTTTCTAGCATTTATTCACTGATATCAACTTGTAGGTTCTCCAAATGTTTGATATTATTTTAACATTGAAGAAATATGTAATGTTAAACTATGGGATACTGATTTTTATTCTGAAAGTCATGATTGCATAGTACTTGTACATCATATTTTAGAACATTTTGTACTAGTGAACTATATGATTTCAACCCAGCAAAATGCAAAAGAATATTTGGCTATTAATCCGATTAATAGAAAATACTAATTATGAAATTATGACATTTTATTTCCTTCAAAATTGTTATTTTCAACATAAAATAATCTATTAAAATTGCTTTCTGAATTGTCATTTTTCACATAATTTTTGAAAGTTTTATTGGTCTAAAAAATCCTTTTGAATAGTTATTTTCGACATAAAATAATCTATTAAAATTGCTTTCTGTTTTTATATATATACAAATCGTCTATAAATCGGACAGGTTGATTTAGGTTGATTTTTGACTATTGATGATTATGTTCGATTAATGAATGATTAATAGATGATTTATCACATGTCTGATTTTTTTGATTTTAACCAGTGATTATAATATATTAAATGAACTTTATTTAGTTAAATTTTTAGAAACTATTAGCTTATTAATAAAACAAGTAATTTGACTGGTAAAAATGCTTAAATTTCTATGTAATGTCAATCAAATATCTAAAATTAGATTTTATAGAAATGATTGATGTAAATTTTAGTAATGATCAACAAATGATCGAAATATATAAAAATGCTTTGGAGTATGATTTTAATAGCAAAATCTCAAAAATTTCAAGTGTTATGAAATTGATGTAACAATATTTTTGATATGGTGGATTTAATAGCAAAACTTTAGTTTCATTATTTTTAAAATAATTGAATATATGTAAAAATAATAATTATTATAAAATTTTATATATATAAAATTAAAGTATCATCTTATTAATTGATTAGACTCAATATTATTTTAGTGCTATTTTTTATTGGCTAAGTATTTTTATTGTGGCGTAACTATTTTTTGATCATCAATTATTCAAAATCAATTTATTAGTCTTGTAACCCATTTTTAATAGATTAGCTTCCATATTCTAGAATTAATTCTAAAGCTGATTCATATTTATCTAACAAGATCATAATTTCGATACTCACCTGAGGTGAGTACCAAAATTATGTATATATATAATAAAGTTTAAAAGCTATAGACTATTTTCCAGTATACTAGTAATTTCGCAATATATAGGAATCAATTCTAGAGACATTCCTTTCACATAAACCTAAGTCAAAAAAAATGGTAATGGATATCAAAATTCCAAACAGGATACCAAAATTTTAATAAAGTATTTTCCATTCATTAGAGCCTTAAAGGCAATCTGTTATAGTATTAGGAAAAATAAAACCTATAAAGTATAATTGATATTTATTATTTAAAGAAAAACTTTTTATAAGGATTATATATCAAGTGTAATACTACAATGGTTAATTATAGTTGTGATAGACATAATAAAAGCTTTTCCAAATTATGAAAACTTAGATGTTATTGAGAAAGAAAATATCCATATTGTCAAAATCTATCTGAACCTATTAATAAACTAAAGCCTATTTAAATATCAATACCTAAGTTTATTCAACTAAAATCTTCCGAATCCAAAGTGGTTACCCAAGCTGCTGAGACTTTTAGTCGAAAGGAGCGTTGAAAGGAGAAACCTAGCGGATTTAAGTAATAAAATGCTCAGGAGAAATCTAGCATGGTTGAGCGATAAGATGCTCAGAAGGAATATGTTAAGGAAAAGTATTTCTGATTAATTTATGAGAAAGCAGTAGAAATTATAAAGAGGAGGAACCACCTAATGATGATATAGTATTTTTGGAAAGAGAGCGTGATCCTGCAAGACAACATAGCTCTCTTAATTGTATGATCATATGGAAAGGGGTTATTCCTTCATGTAAAAATCTAGTATTAACATTCAATAAAGAGCAAGACAATTCGAAGATTATGCAGATGTACCATATATGCCCCACCTTATAGCATAACTAAAAGATGTATTGTTTCTAGTTTTAGATTGATATTTTTTTATGTGAAAATTTTTAGTAAATAAAAAGTTTTTAATTATTTCAAATTTGAACAATTATATATATGATATGAACCAGTTCTGGACTGATTGATGAACCGGTCATGTAAACAAGTTTTATAAACCGTCCGTTCTGGTCTGTCTACAGTTTAATGACCAGTTTTCAGGACCACGGACGAACTGGAACATCCCTAATGAAATGTTTTCTTGTTACCTTGATTTCTACAAAATGAATCAATAACACAACCCAATGTTTATATATATTTTAAACTTTATTAACTAATGTACGATCTTTCTGCAGTTTCTTTTGTGTGCACCATCTGCGATACAAAATACAACACGCCATTTAAATCCTCACTTAAATTATCATTTCTATCAAAATTAAATATTGAATTAGATTATGAAGTTATGAAGTAACTATATAAATATATAAAGTCAAAAAATATACTCACAATTTATTAAAAAATAAAGAAACTTCCAAACCTTCATAAATTTAGTCTTAGCAAACATAATTAACTAAAATTTTATGGAATTCGCGAAATTTGTTTTTAACTTATGGAATTCGGAAAAAAAAGTATTGAAGAATTCACGTACAAGGTATAGCTTATGTTTTTATAGTACGCTTCGGTAAAAATCAAGAAATCACGATTTTTTTGTCGCCGATCTACTATCGCCTTAAAATTGAAGTTCAATTAATTTTGAAATCTGCAGTAATTTGTCAACTGACTGTAAATGGCAAAACAAATAGGATAATTTTTTGCCGAGATATATCCGCGATGCATGTATTCCTGTTAACGCATGTCTTTATTTTCTCCTATAATCTCCTTACCTCAATATTATACAAAAAAAATAATTTTTTTTAATAACATTTTGTGGTTTCAGCATTTTATACAAAGGAATTTAATTAAGTGTCAAAGACCGATACGATAAAAGCTACGCATGCAAGTTCTAATAATATTGCTATATTTACATTACATTAACTGATTTGAGGTAATAACAGATCGGCATAATCCTATAAACTGGGACCTGCAAAATCGCATGACTTTTCATTTAAAAGGTTAAAATGAGGTTAATGTATTTTTAAATATAAATAATACTTTTGTCTGACAAAAAGATTATAATCAAAATCTTCGATCACATGACTTAAATTCGTGAAACACATGATGCATGATAATAGTTATTATTTTTACAAATTTGTGTAGTACAGTTTTTGATTTTGAATTTGAATGTTACTCTGCATATTTCTGAAACGGTAAAATACTGTGACCAATTAATTAATTTTAACGTGCCGTTATTTCCCTTCCACCAAATTTTCACTATCAAAATGGAAAATATTGATAAATCTAATGAGTGGGTTAATTTGATAGAAGATGCAATCTTCAGAAAGCACATTAAATTTTACGAATACAACCATTTTAGTAATTTTCAAAAAATTGGTTCTGGAGGATTCGGAGAAGTCTATCGTGTAAATTGGAAAAGTTCAGATCTACATTTAGCATTAAAATCTTTTTTAAACTTTGACAATACCACTGTTAAGGAACTCGTCCGTGAGGTATTTCACTTGCAAATTAAAAAAAAAAATCGTTCATTTTATATATTTATCTATATTTATAATTTAGCTTGAACATCAACATGAAGTCGATTTTCATGAAAATATTATTCGCTTTTATGGAATTACAACTTCAATACAAGGTATACAAATTAAATTTATTTATTAAAAAAAAAAGAATAGTCTTTTAATTGATGAGTTATTATATAAATTTATACATCTATTTTCTCTAGAAAATCAAAATGGTCATTTAAAAAAATATTTGTTAGTAATGGAGTATGCCAATGGTGGTACACTTCGAAACTACTTGAAAGACAATTTTTTAAATCTTACCTGAAAAGATAAATACAACCTTGCATATCAGTTGGCTTGTGCTGTATCATGCTTACATGACGAAGGAATTGTGCATCGTGATTTAGTAATACAAATACAATATTTTTTTAATTCATTTGTTGATATATTATCCTTAATCACATTTTTACTAATCAATACATTTTTATAATAGCATTCTAGAAATGTGTTAATTCATAATAATCATATTAAACTTGCTGACTTTGGTTTATCAAAGAGGATAGAAGAAGTATCATCAAAACAACAATCAAAATTTTTTGGTATAATACCTTATATTGATCCAAAAAGATTTAATAGACAAAAACTTGATAAACAAAGTGATGTATACAGCGTTGGCATACTCTTATGGGAAATATCAAGTGGTTATCCTCCTTTTTATACTGAAGGTGAACTATATGATATTGATTTGGCTATAAGAATTTCACAGGGCCTTAGAGAATCAACTATTGATGACACTCCTGTAGACTATGCAAAAATTTATACCGGTATATTACTTAAATTCAATTAATCTCATTTACGTCATAAATTTATTCTTATTTTTTTGAAAAATTATTTATTTTAGATTGTTGGGAAAATGAACCAGATAATCGTCCAACCATGAAGCATGTAGTTATTGTATTGAAATCATTTGTTTTAGAAACGAAAATTATAGCAGAAATTGATTTAGAAAATGATTATGAAATAGATTATGATTTATCAAATGAACAACAAAATACAAATAACGTTGATACTATTTCATGTGGAGAATTATCTCGCCTTATTCAAAATTTTGAACAAATGAAATATACAAGAGAACTAGAAGCTATAGAAACAAATAGTTTAATAGAAGAAGATTTAAACAAAATAGTTGATGATATTGTAGATTTAATTTTTAAGGAGCTGAATGAAGGAAAAGCTTTTGTGTTAGGTAAAAAGCCGGTCCTTGATTTCCTTGATAAACAAATTATCGCACCATTTGAAATTTGTCATTGGTTGACAAGTAACCAAATCAGTACTAATTCTATCTTTTTGTTTGGATATTTTAATTTCTTTGGAATTGAAGCATGTAAAAGTTATGAAAAGGCATTTTCTTTATTTATTAATGCCTCAGAAAAAGATCATATTTTGTCACATTGTTATGTTGGACTCTGTTACCAATACGGTCATGGTACTACAAAAAATGAAAAATTGGCCTTTAAATATTATGAATTAGCAGCCAAAAAAGGTTTTGCAGCAGGACAATCGCAAATTGGTTATTTTTATGATCAAGAAATAGGTGTTAAAATAAATTTACAAATGGCTATACATTGGTACAAAAATGCTGGAAACTCGATTGCTATACATAATCTTGGCATATGCTATGGAAATGGATTTGGAGTTAAAAAAGATTATAATAAAGCATTTGAATTATTTAAACAATCGGCCAAAAAGAAAGATTCAGATGGATTAGCGATGTTAGGTTACTGTTATTACAATGGTATTGGAACTAATATTGATAAATATAAGGCATTCAATTTATATAATAGGGCCGCAGATTTAGGAAACATGATTGCTATTAATAATCATGCTAATATGTATGAAAATGGTGATAAAATTAAAAAAGATCTTGATAAAGCAATTTATTGGTATGAAAAATCGGCTCAACAAGGATATCTTTATGCTCAAAATAGAATAGAAGAGCTTTCAAAAATTAAGGATAGAAAAAAGAAGAATATTATTTGTAAAATGAATATTACACTATTTATTCTGAATTTTATTTTAGTTGGTATTGCATATTTATTATTTTTTTTGAAGTTATAATTTAATTTAATAATCAATTTTATAATTTAAATGTATTTTAACAAAGGCTTTAAATTATCTGCCAAATAAGATAAGGTTAGAGAACGAAGTCGGTGGGATTTGTATTAAGTTTGGTTTGTTAATTAATAATACGAAATCATGTGTTCATGTTTTTTATCGGAGAAAGAAATAGCTTTTTGAGGAGGATTAGAAAACTATGATAGTTTCATTAAACATTTTTTTTTCCTTTAATTTTTTATATATCTCGAATTTTCATTTGTATTTTTTTAAATATTAAAAATAGATAAATTTGAATATTCTAATTGAATACAATCTTTGTGCATTTTGCGAAAAAAAGATATTGAATCTGCATTGAATAATTAATAAAAAGTCTTTCTTTTTTTATTTAGTAAATCTGCTAAAATTCTAATAAATTTATTACAAATTCATAAATTCTTTTTGATAGCAGCATTGAGAATTTCAGTGATACCATTTTTTGTTGCTGGTAATTTAGGTAATTTATGCAAAATTCAGGTTACATTCTGACAAATCCTTAAATTAGTTTCGCCTCAACCAAAATGTTTTCATGGAAATACCTTGAGGAATTGATAGATGGCATGATAGAAACTAGTTTTGAACGCTTACCAAATTTTATTTAAAGACAAAAGCTAATTTTTTGACCGGTGGGCAGCAAAATTTTTTTCGAATCGTCTAAATTATTTTCAAAAATATTCAACTTTTGTCAAATGAGATTAACACAACTTATATTTCGCCCGAATCTTTATTAAAACAAATACAAGATACTGTATATTGCAAAAAATGCTTAACTTTATTCGATTCTATAACGGAAATGGAAAAGATTCAAACATTAAACCTCTATACGACCATTGATAAAACCAAGTCGTACATCAATAACTTTTCAAGCAGTCAGGTGGACTGTTTTTAATCAAAATCGTAGGGTAACCGTTAAAATTTTGACTAAAAATTAACGTAGATATCTGTAATAAGTGTTTATTGACTGTTAATTTATATGTTTTTACCCTGGGATTGTACCGAAACCAAGGTAACGAACGATACATGCAATGCAATGTGATATTCCGGGATCCCTTTTATCTGGAATATACCACTAATAACTTTACTTTACGATTCAATTGTGTAGTTGGTTGTCACAAGCGGAGCCTATGTGGAGACAAGAGGAAGGTTTGAAAGTGTAAAAAAATGTATTTTATTATTATTTGAAAGTCCATAAGTCTATCACCAAGACTTTACAACGATCGGACTATTTTTCTTTTTTAATTCAATGTGTATATATACTAAATTATAAACTACGCATTTTCGCAATGATAAATTATATAGATTATATAAACAATATAAATGCTAAAAATAAATAAAATAAAGAAATATAAGAAATTAACTAAAACTCCGAAATGTTACATATTTGACAGATTGCCATAATTAACATGTGCTATTCACTACATTTGCCGCAGTACGCAGTTTTTAATCGTCAAACATTTTCAAGACTAACAATGTCATTAATTGAACATTAGTGATTAGTTTAAGATATGTAAATGTTTCTATTCTAATCATATTACGATCCCAGCTAAGTAGCATACCCTCCATTATATTTAAATACCAATTCAAACAAGATCCAACTCTCTAATTCCTACTAATTGTTCTTAAAATTTTTCACATCCAAGTTTATTAAATAATTCATCTTTTGTAATTAATTGAATTTTAGAAAAGGTAAATTTTTTGATAATATCTAATTGTAACGGCTCAACAACAGAAAACTGAATACGTTTGTATATATCCATAATAGTTTGACATCGAATCTAAATTGTAATTAATTTAAATATTATGAATTAAATTATAAATCTATTATTTTTAGATGAATCTAACTAAATTTGTGGAATAACATTACGTTTATTAGTTTTTCAATAGGGATCTTTAACAAAGAACTTATGACTCATTTCAAATGTTTCTGATGGTAATTATATTAAATTTTTAATGAAAATGTAGAAATGTGTGCATATTGTAGAAGTTATTCCTTGTAACACAATTTCAAAGACAATATATTTTCTATTAATTCAATATTTTTGAATGCATTAAATAATGAAATAAATTTAATCAAATTTTGCAAAATATAAAAAAGTCGGACTATTTTCAAAAAATAAACATAATAAGTAAGAAAATTACTCATTGCTAATATTGCTAAGAAAGTTATTAAGTAAGCTGAAACTGAATATATAAAACAAAAAATAATTTAATGAAAAAAATAACTTAAAAAAACCTTAACGATAAAACTTGAAATAATCGTCTAAAAAACCTATCTAAAAGAAAATGAAAAAAAATAATTTAACAAAATCCGGAAAATCTAAATAAAAAAGAATAACAAATGAAAATATATTTATAAAAATAAAAAAAATTTTATGAAAAAATCAAATGCAGCTTGTTCGAATCGAAAAGAGATGTAAAAAAAAATAAAAAAACTTACCATAAACTCGAACGAAAAAAAATCTATAAAAAAATAACAAATGAAAAACAAAATATCAATTCATTTTAAAGTTTTTTTTTAAAAATGTTATTTAGTATATAAAATAAAAATGTTTATATAAAAAATTTTTTATACTGCAATGAAGTATAATAATAAGTCGATGGGCGAATAAATGTGCCGCAAAAGCTACAAAATCAAATTTTTTCTTTGATAAAATTTTCTATATATTATCGACGTGGTTAGCGTGATTCCCTGATAATAATAAAAGATGCTTAACTTTTTGTTTCTCACCATTGTGGGAGCAGAATTTAAACTCTCTATAACTTAATAGTAAATGAGAAAGTAATGTGGAATGTTGTGTACTTATATCACTATTAGCCTTATATTACTAAACTACTAAACTTACCATCTATGCACCAGAAAAAACTTTGCTGATAGAAATAAAATAATTTTGCGGACAGTATGAACGATTTGTTTATTATTTTATAACCAGACCGACATATTTTATATTAAAGTATAACTTATATACCATCGCTTCCCAACTGAAATCCTTTCTCTCGTTGCTAATCATCATGATAGAAATATTAAATCAAAATGCCACCAAAAAAGCAATACATTCCCCGTAAGTATAGATTCCTTTGTTTTTATAAAGTCAACTTTAAATCAACTTTTTTTTGTAGTCAAACCAGTAACAAGAAATTCAAAGAAGAAAGATGATACACACAAGAAAAATCAATAAATTACAAGTTATAATTGCTCTCAAACAAAACTTTTGCACTTAAAACCCAAAAGTGGTAATATCTGTATAATCATATGGTGATTTGCTATTAAAATCAAGTAGGGGAGAAAGACCATTCAGTTCGCTTGATCAGTATGATTTTACAGATCGTTACTTTATAATAGGATTAGTATTGCACAGTTTTATAATAGAAAGAATTTATATATAGGATCAGTACGATCAGGACATCACTTGCGGTTTTTAATAAGAGTATAAAATTCCAAGGAAATAAACATATTTTGATACATTTTGGTTGTCATTAAGCCAGTTGAAAATACCATCAGTTGATCGAGTAGTAAGAGTTACGCATTTATTAAGAATATCTTTTGTTTCATAACCTTTATCTTGTATTTTAGTCAATAATATAATTATTATCAATAATGTTTTGATATAATCCGTATGTATCATTCATGATTACATGATTACTTTATAACATTTGACATCCTTCTATTTTGAATAAATGTTTATTTTGCAGATTATGATATAGAGTAATCTCTTCACAAGTTTACAATTGAGCAAATTTGTTTTCGTCGAGATTTCTATAATTGGTTAGTGATTTGATAAACAATACTAGAAGCAAAATGTGTTACATCATGATGCAATGCAAAGTACATTCTTTATAGAAAATTATGAGAATCAGGTAGTAACAAATTTTTATTCAATAAAGTATATTAATCGTGGTTTAGCGTAGTTAGCGTAGTACTATTGATCAAAATTAATTCATCATGGCGTAGCAGCTATAATTAAACTATTCTATGGTCCTTTAATTGCTAATATTTTAATAATTCAAACTCAAAATCCTAAATTATTGATCCGAAAGGTTATAATGTCCTAAATAACTCAGTTTTTTGCATATTCGAAATTACCAATTTTAGCAAAGATGTTTCTTTTTTTGAAACCAAATGAATCAAATCCCAGTAAATTGTGAGGCCTTTAATCACCGCCTATTACATGACATTGGGAGTTAGTCGTAATCATTATGTCATCTTTGATTTTTTATAGAAATCGATCCTTCGGTTATTAACCAAGGATGAGATTAAAACAGTATTCTTTAAAAAGTTACAAATCACGTTCATGAACGATTATTTTTGACGCAAAAGCTTACCTTGAGTATCAAAAAAAAGTTAAGGGCAATGTTATCGTTAGAACATACCCGATGTCAAGAAAGACTACTCAGAGAAGTCAAGCTTTCCTCAGCAGTTATAAATGGCTTTATTTATTTGATCTTTTTATAATATGAGAGCGTAGCTTTTCCTTTTATTCAAAGCGAGGCTATAATTGTATTTTAAATAATAGAAAACATGTTACATTTTATATTTGAAAAAATTTTTCACAGGAAAGAAAACACAAAACGATTTAACTTAGAAATAAAAATAGACTTTATAAAATGTGAAGTATTGTCACCTCTTATCTTCGTAATATGATAATTGTAATTAGCGTGTCAATATAAAAGAATTAAAATAAAATAAAATAATTTTTATAAAGGATAAAAAATAATACTTTATTAAAAGGATTATGAATAATACAATAAACTCAACTGTTACTGCCTCTGTAATAGGCCTTTAAGAGAAAGAACTATCTAAAACGATAAATGTTCATTTTTTATAACTAATTTCCTCCTAGGGCTGGTTATGGAATTCTTGGCAAAGATTAATTATTTTGCGATTTGGATGACGGAAATACTTATTAATCGCTCCTATTCTCATAATAACTAATACATTCCATGTCAGAATTGACAGCAAATCGAACGTCAATGCCACGGCGATCAAATTTCAAACAACTTTTGAGGTTGACAGTAGGAAATTGTGAAACTTTCGGATTTTGCGTTTACGCAAATACAAAATGAATCGATTGCCCGGTTATAAAAATTACTTGAATATATAATGTTGTACTGTCAAGAGAAGTGGTGAGTTCGAGTGAATAATGTATAATTTCTTAACCGAGTACTTTATCTCACCAACCGTTAATCCAACGGATCCAATATGGCTCAATTGACAAGAAATACGAACAGAAGTATTATTTCCGAAAGCCGAACCGACCATTTGTAATCGTTAAATATATGATCTTGCTGCAATTAATGAAGAATAAAATCTCGTACCATTCGTAGACACAATATCCAATATTTTCCTCCACATTGAAGTGAAATCATCACTGCAATAAGGACTTACATTCTGTTCAAGGAATACAGTAATTAATTTCAATACTTGTCATGTCATAGATACATATCATATAAATTTAGGAACTTTCAAATCAATGGTCATTCATTATGGATATAATAGTTAACTTACTTACATGTCCCATAAAACATTTTGACACCTTAATTTCTTTCAGTTACAATACAAAATTGACCACACTCTTCAAAAATTGCTCAAAAATGTTTAATACATGAACTTGTTCAAATCTCGAATTTCCATATTTTACATAAAGCTATGAGACAAACATAATTGCTCAACAAAATAGCGTACGTCTTTGAAATTGCAGTATCTTCCACAGTGAAGTAATGAGATTTCACAGAATAAAAAAATTGTTATTAACATCGTCCCAATTTTGTATAGGTCATCGTTTGTACCCGAACAAATTAATTTAAAATGATGAAATGCGGCCCGTTTTATCCTAATAAATTAATTTCCTTTGATGATAATTACAGGCAGATAGTTAGAATGGTGCTTCTACAAGGCTTTCATTTCATGCTAAGATAATCATACATAAGCATGCAATCAAAATGCTGTCAACAATAGCTGAAATTACATGCTTTTGTAATTCCTCCATATATTAAAACCTTGTTAGTATTGTCTTGATTTGTTTTAGATAATACGACTCGCTCATTATTTTGCTGACGCACCCTTTATTATAAGGTGACGAGATGCTATAATTTCTTGTTTTTGATTTCAGGACGTCGTTATACAAGGCATTCCATAACAAATAGTAAAGTATAAACGCGTGGTATCTGCAATTCTATGACAGAACTATTTTACAAATAAGTGAAGCATAGTGTAATGAAATTGGTGTAAATAATCGTTAAAGTCTGCAAATGTTAAATACAGCGCCATTTTGATATTTTCGAAGGGTTGGAGACCATTATGTAGCAATCGAGAATATAAATAACGAGTTTCTTTCAGGATAATGTTGGCTATAGCTGCAAAATATAGATTTTCTATGTCATATTCGCAATGCGTTATGTTGAAGTGTCAGCTTGATCTTTTTTTTTGTTATTATTAATCTAACACTTATTTGGATTATTACCTACTCATAAAACTAAGAGATGCCCTTAGAATCCACCTTAAAACTTTCTGGAGTCATGTCACACAAGTAAAGGAAAGAGAGATTGAGAAGTTTCACTCTAGATCAGAATACTCTAGATCAAATAATCATTCTTAGTGCATCGCAAATTTTGAATAATGTTAAAAGATCTTTTGTTATTATTTGTATAATGTCTTGAGAAGTTTCTGGAGCGAATTTAAATGAATATGATGTAGGACATGAATGGATATCAAGCTGATGAATAAGTAGATGCAATTGCGTAGTCAATAATTAAGATAAAATAAGTAAAGATTAATAATATTAAATCATCAGTAAATGAGTTATATGTATTAAAACTTAGTAAATGAATAAGTATAAAATTAAATGGAGTATGGAAATTTTTTTTGTATATATTTTCCTATTTTTTCCTTGTCGAACACTCTGTTTTTTTAATCCTCTTTTCTTTCTTTAAACTCATCATCCAGCTTGTCTTTCAGCGCTTCACCTTTTTCTGTTCGTCGGTCCTCCAGCAACCTGTTCACTATACAATATCCCTTCTTTCCACCTATTAAACTTTTAGTCAACCTATTCTTAGCCTTTATCGTTCCTTTTCGTTTTTTCAATTGATGTCATTTATAAGGTGTAAACTTAAAAATTTAAATTGAAATTTTTTTTGATTTATATTGGTAGGTATTTAATGTTACACGCGCTCCCAATATAGAGTTTTGATTGACGGAATGAAATGATGCAACTTTTATTAAATAAATATTAGCTTACCGTTGTAAAGTGTTTACAAAAAATCAAGTTGGATTATCATGTGTCAGTTAACGCGTTATTTAAGACATAAGACTTTTCATCGAAATTGCATATACAGGAACCAATTGAAACTATCTCGTATCATATTCTATTGATTGTAAACAAAAAATTTATAAATTTATTTAAATCATTAGAAAAGTTCGAATAGCTTATCAAGAGCTCGATTTGACATACGCTTATCAAAGAAGAAAAATTATTTAAAAAATATCATTATCTTTGATTATAATCATCATCTCTAATAAAGTTTGCAAAAACTATTTTATAAAGCTAATTTATTCATAAATTTAAATAATACGTATTACCTTTAGTTTACTGCTTCAACGTCGCAATAATAAAATTTTTTTAAGGTTCGTAACAGAAGGCTGTATTATTATTTCCGTTATTTAAATGTATTTTTTTAAACAACTTTTATAGTCATGTAAATCAAGAGATGAGATAAAGGTTGATTTTTTATTAAATTATTTTCAAGATTAACCGAGTAATGAACATATTCGGTTCACAAATTGAGTTTTATTTTATTTTTAAACGATATTCAATTACATGAAATATTGAGGATTTGGATACAATAAATAGTTCTGTATGATCACGCCACCCGCTATAATTTATAAAGTATTACACTTATGAAAGAAGATTAGATTTCATGGTGCAAATCGACCCTATCGAAACGTATCTATTATAAAGAAAAGGAAAATTATGTAAAAGTTAGCAGGGAGTGACACACTCGCATTCCATGTCTAGGGAATCAAATTCCTTTAAGCGACTATTCCTTGAGCCTCGCTATGCTAACAATCTTATAAACTGTATCATTAAAACTTTGGTAAGACAGGGAGCGCAGTTTACCTCGTTAAAAATCTTTGTCAGCCTATAAGCCATCATCTCCTTCCACAAGAGGGAGTCTAAACACTCACAAGTGTGAATGTGAATTAATGAAACAAACAAATGAATTCTATTCTTATTTATATTAAAAATTGAAAAATATGAAATTGTGGGATTCATGATCTTCAATATCGATCACTAATTATGGAATATCGCATGTTACAGATAATATGATCCATAGCTAGTAACCAGTTTATAATTTTTTAGTTTTTTATCACGAATTTTTTAACATGTGATAGCTCTTCTAAATTTTCAAGCAGAAATCAAATTACTTTATTTAATTTTTTTTAATAATATAATCATTAATCTGTTGTTATTTGGAGACGAATTTTGAAGTTTTGGTCGCTCAAGTGAATTTAAAATATATAAAAAACGTTTTCAGCATTTTAACTTTTTTTCAATTTCATAGTAAGTAACAAACAATATTAGGATAAGGACAACTATTAAAATTTGCGTAAAAAGTGTGTTTTGTAAAATAATTTTGTCTAAAATTAAGATTTGTTGAAATTCTAAATTTGAGGATTTTTGTATTTATTTCTGGGCCACATGTATTTTTATATTTATTCTCAATAATTCTTTTAAATACATTACAACGAATGATATTGATTGATTTACAAAAAAAAAAATTTATTTCGAATACATCTTTATATTTAGTAAAAATTAATGTTCCTTTTAAAATTTCATTCATAAATTAACCAAGCTAACGTCTTTTGCATTACAATAGAATTTTTTTCTTTACAAAATTTTCGTCATTTAAGTATTAAAAATAATTATAATAAATTCCACATAACTTACAGATTGTTGTAACAAAAAATAAAAATTAAAATTAAATACATACCGCGTACTACAGATTAAATAGATTAGATTATATTAAATGAATAGCAACTATAACTCACGTTAAGATTATTGTCGGGATGACTCCTAGTATAATTTTTTTACTTAATGATAAATCACGTGATATATTATGCAGAATGTATTTCTATGAAACTATATTTGTCACACGACGTCATGTATTAGAGTTAGTAAAACTATTCTATACAATTCACATGCCCGAGCTTTTATGTTGTTGATGCTAGGTGAGTTTGCAGAATATAGCACCTGATCTGATGTCTCATTTTATTCACAGTCATATTTTCCAATGTTACCGAATCTTATTCTTTTCTTATTCAAAAACAAATTCACGTTATCGTAGAACAACCAGTTACCAGTTACGACCGGTATGTAAATCTAGTTATTAGTCAACGAAAGCGAACGCTGTATGGCTTAAAATTTTGACAAAATTGAATACTTCTAATTTTCTTTCTTGCTTCTAATATACTGTAGTTTTTCGTATTCTTTCATTATTTTTTTTTAATTTTTTTTTTTGAGTATTAATGAAATTACATTTATTGTTCTTTTTTAAGTAGAATCAAAATGAGTTACGATGAGAATCAAGTTGACAGGACTGTTTTATTTGTGCTCTCATTCAATCATTCGATACACTACAAGTCAAGCGGATGACTTATCTCTTATTGATGCATAACTTTTTTTAATATTGCTCACATCTTTTTATGAAGAGAGAAATTTCCTCAGTGTGCTATATTATCCGAACAAGTGAAAATGAAAATGGAAGTATCTAGAAAAGCAAAAAAGCAGAACTTGATCAGAATCCAGCTCCAGATTTTTCGCATCCAATTGAAATGATAGGAATAGCTGGAATCTGGTAACAGCAATAAAAGAGCAATTTTTTTTTGTAGGAAGCCTGAAGTTTCTACAGATGGTGAAATCGAAATTGATTTTGATGTTTTGCCAAAATTTTTCTAAAGGCAAAATTGCGAAAGTTTAGACGAGTAGAAAATTCTCGATGTTTAGCAAAGTTTCGATGGTTGGAAGTATCGACGGTGGTAAAAGTTTCAAAACTATCAAAAACTTTAATAGTAATTTTTTCAATTTTGAATAATTTTCTTAATCTGGTATATTTCCAAATCTCAGTCTAAATCTGAAAAAACTCTAATGCTATCATATTAAAACTGTGAATTTAAAAATATAGTAAAATTGAAATCTTGAATCACAAATCATCAAAAATTTTGAAACTATCGAAATCCATCGAAAACGTCATTTTCAAAGGTTGAAACTGTCGAAAACTCTCAAAATCTGTTGAAACTATCGAAACTGTCATTTTCAGAAAGTTTCGACTTGTTCCAAAATGGGATTAGGATAATGCCTACATAGAGATTGGGTTGTTTCAAAAACCAAAATCGATAGTCGAATCAGCAAAAATCAATTTTTGAAAGAATTAACCAGTGTTGACCCGATTTCTCTAGTAAATAAACACTTTTTCTACTTTTTATTTAGTTCGTCCGATGTATAATTTATGTAGTATTTAATTATTACGATTCGCTAGTGCAGTTAGTTATCGCATCAAAACCTCTATGTAGTCACGAAGAAGATTGAAAGGGTAAATAAATACTTGTTATTCCATATGATGTGAAGGATAACTAGGTTATTCACAGGATATAGATATAATCACATACCGTAAGCGTATGTGATTATTATATAACTTATGCATAAACCCAGTTGTCCGTAACTTCATATGGAATAACAGGCTTATCTCATTGTGTATGACGTATACACCGATGGAATTATTATTCTTTACTTTCACGTTACTTCATGCCTTTATTGCTATCTTAAAAATTAATTTTATTACATTGTCTTGTAGAAGCAGCAATTTACATTATAATAAACTAAAAGCAGATGGATATTGTACAAGAATTCCAAGTGGAATGAAGAAAACAAGAAGCAATTATGTTTCCTATATTTACAATAAAGAAATACATCAACTACAAGATTTTTAATGCGTATATAGTTTATTTTTACATTATAATTATATATTTTTAAATTAATAAAAACTCTAATATTTAATGTTTCAACACTAAATTCCGAGTGAATAATCAGAATTTAGAATTTTAAAAATACATATTCATAGTACAATTAAATATATTATGTTAATAACTGATTATATAAGCAACTTTTAAAATAAAGTTTCTTTTTATAATTACACAATGATACTTAATATAAACCAGTGGAGTAAGTGATAAGAAATTCCACCGGTGTATACATAATACCGATGGGATAAACAACTTTATTAGTTAGGATAGTCTAATTAAATCTTTGAGAGAAACTTTTACGACTTGTGATTTTCTCAGTTTTTCTTTAGATTGAATTTCCGATTTATTTATTATTTTCAATTTACAAGCAGACATAAACTTAACAAATAAAACTAATATAATAGAAATAATAAATAATTCAAATATAATAAATAAATTAGAAATAATAAATAATTCAAATATAATAAATAAATAAGAAACACTAATACATATTTGATATATCTGTTATAGCAGATATTTTTGATATCTGATATGTATTGCAGATGCTGCGCCTATCATAGCGGCTGTTAAAAAATGATTTTTGATTCCAGTATTGAAAATCGGCAAATCAGTTTCAATTTTTAAGTATAGAACAGTATTAAAGCAATATTTGTATTATAATCTTTATTTATTAGAAAATAAAGCTAAAGATTTTAAAAATAAATTAATCAAATGTTTATGTTTCATAAGTTATAAGTTATCACAACATATTTTCAATATTGAAATTATGCATTCGTGATTAATGAGATATAAGCTTATAACGATATGCAATTCTGGTTGCGTTTCTTTTGCTCACCACTGTACATTACAAGAACCTACAATATGATATAAGAAAAGAAGCAAAAGTGTTAGTATGCTGCAGTCAAACTAAGTAAGGTTAAATAAACTATTACAGTTTATATCAGCTGATAATACAGGTGTATATATAAGGCCTTTGCAATAGAAAGGGGAAAAACTGCTGGGAAAATCAATTTTCTTTTATATACCAAATATGGTTTTTAGGCTGAAATATGTCAAAATTTAGCATCAACTCATTTTTGATTTTTCTGGCAGTTTTCTCCCTTTTTATTATAAAAGACCTATATTTTCAACTCAGGCTAGCCTATATAAGTATGCAATTTATATAATCTCATCTTATAGATCTAGAACTATTCTAGACCCACCTATCTTACCTTGAACTCTTTTACTTCTAAGTTTTCTATAAAGTTCTGAAGCTCTATGACATTTAGTAGGAGATTTCTCATTTTCAGTATGAATCATAATAAAAATATTAATTTAAAATTTGGCAATAATTTTGGTAGTAAAAAAAAATTTTATGAAAAAAAGAAAAATTTAAAAGGTGATTTTTATATTTGAAAAATTACTATGAGAATGTTATAGAAAAATTTTCTTTTGCAGAAAAATAAATAAAGGACTATAGGTATCTATTGGTGGAATGATTATCAAACAAGAAATTTGTAGAATATGAATTAATAAACATGATGATTATCACAAATGTAATATTTAAACTTAATTTGATATATGCATATTCAAAATATAAAAAAAAATTTTTTTGGTTTGAATATTATTATTTTTTTTTTATTTTACATAAAATTTATGTTATTCAAATACATTAATAATGCCATATATGTCAATTTTTTAAAAAAATTATGAATAAATAAATCATTTAAATAGTATGTGAAAAGTTTCTTATAAACAAAAGTCTATTGATATCTATTGGTTGTAAAATAAGATAAATCTTGTTTATGGATTGATAAATATAATAAAATATATAGTTAATGACTTATTTTTATGACTTTTTTATATGGTATATTTAATGATTATATAATCAATAGATCATAAAGTAATTCATTATTTTTATTTTTTATATTTGTTATTAGTTAAAATATATTTTTATTTAATATTTAAAAAAAAATTTAAATAAATAATTTAAAAAAACTGCTAATCAATTATATTGTAAACATTTATATTTCAGTAAAATAATTCTTTAATTCAAATTTTTATCTTTTTAAATTTATATATAAAATACGTCTTATAATTATTTTTAAATGTTATTTGATTTGTAATTAAATTGTAACAGTAATTATATTTTACGTTATAACTTTTTTTTAATAATATGAATATTATTTTTTAAATTTTATTATTATTATAAAAAGATATCAAAGTAAAAAATAATTTAATCTATATAAAAATATTTTATTTAATGATTATATACTGATATTTATTTAATAAATATTTTAAATATAGTGTTTATTAATAAAATAAATTTTTTGTAAAAATTATAAATATTTTATATAATTATTAAACATTATTTATATTTATAATAAAAGATTTTATAATTCAAAACTTTATATTATTTTACTGATTATTAATTATTTTGATCATTAATTTTACAATCTAAACAATCACTTATTTCTTTATATAGTATAGTATATTATTTAAATTTTCAGTAAAATTAAGTAATTGACTAATATGATATGCTTGTGGATGTGATTTAAAAATAACTTCATTATTATTAATAATACCATTATTTTGTGTTTTTTTTAATACTTTATCTGCTTTATAAAAATCTAAAATATCATTCCTTAATTCTTTTTTAAAATTATTATTAGTAATATTTTCTTTCCAAACTCTAATAATTTTTTTTAATTTCTGATGCAGTTGGTCTTTTTAATGGATCCATATTCCAACATCTTTTCATTAAATTTATATAACAT